TTTTACTATTTCAAACCTATAGCCACTTTAATGAAAAAAGAAGCTGTTGCAAAAAACCAGTTAGGGAGATATAACTATCCATTAGAATGGAAAAATAAAGAAAGTGATCAGTCATCAAACAATAATGAAGATAGAACTAATGAAAATTCAGATATACAATCATTATGGCCATTGAGAAGAAATTCAGCAGAAAATTCAGTGAGTGATGGAAATCAAGTTGTAAATTGGTCAGGAGATATGCCACAAACTGGACTTGAAGTAACTTTTGAAAATTTAAAACAGCGCCTAGAACATTTAAAAGATCTTGCTTATAATAAAACGGTAATTTTAAACATTTTTCACTTTCTGCTCTTTTCTTGTTTATATGTATAATGTTGCTTAATCATTTCATGGGTTTGAGCTGTATTAAAATAATATAGCTCAAACCTGAATTGATTATACTTTCATTAGGTTTAATGAAGAACTAATGAATTTCTTCCTTTATTAAATTATACAAAATTCATGACATTTTATTATACTAAATTTTTTGAAATATATAAAGTTTTCTTTAGAATTAATGTAAAATTTTTTAGAATTATGTTGTTACAACATTATATAAATATAACTGATTCTGAATTGATTTTATCTTATGATTTTGAGCTTATGAATTTTATCACTAACTAAATTAGGAGATGAAAACATACTCAAACAATGAAATGTATTATAATATTTGTGCTGACAGAATTTTAATTTGTAATATATAATCATTTACAGTAAGAAATATACATATAAGTACAGATATCTTTATCACCTATGAAATGACAAAATTATGAAAAAATTCAAGTGATTGTATAAATAAATTAAAAATTTCACACACAATCTATATGGAAAATAAATTAATTTTCTAGGATATGAATATCTAGGTTTAAAGTTTCAATAGGATATTTTGCTACATTTTTGTTTAATGCTGTTCCTTTTCTCTTCCAGCAATAATTATTTTTAAAATTTTATATAAATAGAAATATTTCTGCAAAATATTTTGAAATATTATATACATTATTTTTTAAATAATAATTTAAATATGTCTTTTAAAAAGAAATTATATATTTTTTAATTGTTGGCTTGTCGCCTGTGAACTTTTTAAACTGTTTTGCATGTTTTTGCAGAGGCATAGCCTCTAATAAAAGGTTGTCTCTGCAATGGAAGACTGTTGTTCCGGTGATTCTACATGGCAAAAATGAAGATATTTTAGTCTTTTCTATATAGTAAAATTAAAATATAATAATTTTTATCTATATATTAAAATCTGTCAATATGCATATACCATATTTTTATCATTAATTTATTTTCAATTCAATCTCAACAACTTTGATAGCTAAAGATGCATTTTTGCACATTATTTCCAAATTATATATATATATATATAGTTTTGTCTATTCTTGTTCAAATTTCATAAAAATGTGAGTTCAGATTTAAAGTTGTGAACCTGTGTAGTGTTCACTAAAACTGGAATTACTTAATTGAATCAGGCTATCAAGTATACTATCAGTTTCTGTATCTTTTGATAATATAAATAGAGTATATGTTACACCCATATGCTGATATTGTTTATGCCAAAATTTAGATACAAATATTTCATTCTGACTGGATAATACACGTCTTCAACATTTTGTTTCTGTCTGTATATGCAGAATATCTTGGTAGTCTTCTATTATTTCATCTATTTTCAAAGATGGGAAAATTTTTTTTGGATAATATAAATTACAGTAGTGTGTCGATTATCTGAATATCAATTATCCAAAACGTCAATTATCCGAAAGAATTCCAGTCGGCAAATTTAAATTTTCGCCAGTGCTGTGACGCTGCAATCTTTGGTTATGTCTTGGGCTACTCAAATATTTTACGTTTTTGGTACTAAATTAACTTCTGAAGTATAATTTTTTATTGTTTTTATATTTTTCAATATATTTATTTTGTTTGTACAAAATAAAAAAATAATTTTTAACGATACAATAGTCTTCGTTAGGCTTAACATCGACGAAAATTCAACGCGAAGCGACACGCAACGGAGAAAAATTTCAACACGGGATAAATTAATATATTTTTTC